TGAAGATCGGTAGGTGCCCGGGATGTGATGCCCTGCCAGTCCCCCATGGCTGCCCCACAGCAGGGACCCCGGCCCCGGGGACCAGCCACCCAGGGCATCTCCAGTCACACCCCGTCTCTCTCAGGTGACTTTGGCCTGGCCACCAAAGTGGAGTACGATGGAGAGCGCAAGAAGACCCTGTGTGGGACCCCTAACTACATCGCCCCGGAGGTGCTGGGCAAGAAGGGGCACAGCTTTGAGGTGGACATCTGGTCCATTGGCTGCATCATGTGAGTCAAAATGTCTCTTGTGGGGCCGGGTGGTCCCTGGGGTCCAGGTCTCATTGGCTCCCTGGGTTTTGGTGTGAGCCGAAGCTTTGGGTTCGCTGTCTGCAGAGCATCTGCTCTGGCTGGGCCCTGCTGCCCATGAACACACAACCTTCCCCGTGCTCTGCAGAGGCTGGTGTGTGTGTGTGTGTGTGTCTGTGGGCTGATCTGCTGCACAGCACGGCTGTCTTGAGGTGTTTCCCAAAAGCCAACACTTCCTAACTGGAATTTTCCCCAGAGAGTTGTAGATCCCAGTTCCCATTTTCAGAGGCAGGGACCAGGCACGGTGCACGTACCTCCCTGTGCTACTGCAACGTGTTCCCTCTGCCACGGAGGTCCCAGGGTGTGCTTAGGATGGGCTCACTTCTGCACACAAGTCTCGGAGTCTCTTTTGCAAAACTGATGCCCTTTTCCCTGTAAACACTCAGGTACACTCTGCTGGTGGGGAAACCGCCTTTTGAGACGTCTTGCCTCAAAGAAACTTACCTCCGGATCAAGAAGAACGAGTACACTATTCCCAAGGTAGGGGGCTTCCCGCGGGTGGGCCCGTTCCCCTCGCAGCAGTTCTCGGTCAGCTTCTGCTGCACTCTCCTGTTTCTGGCACTTAATGGTGAAATGGCTTTTACTGCAGAGAGCCAGGGAGGGGATGTGTCAGTCAGTGGTGGAGGGAACCCATAGGACCAGCCTCCTCTCGGGAGCCAGCAGCTCCCCTGTTACACAGCAAAAATCCGAGCTGGGCAGTGGGCACATGGAGTTAAATGGATGTGCTCGAGTCCATGAGCTCTGGGCCAGGTCCCCAGCTCATCCCGCTGCTGGAGGTATGATCTTGCTATAAAGCCAGTTGACTTTGGGCTTTGCCTGCTGTCAGGAGACAGCTCTCCGTGCCTTCCCACTTCAGTTTCCCAGACTTGCATCCTGCTTGCACAGGAGCTCTGCTCCAAGCAGAACTTCCTCGGGTTGTATACGCAGTGCAGTTACCACCGGTGTGTGTCATCCCCTGACCCTGCCTCCAAACTCTGCCTGTCTCCTCTTAGCACATCAACCCCGTAGCTGCTAACCTCATCCAGAAGATGCTGAGGTCCGACCCAGCCACGCGCCCCACTATTGACGAGTTGCTGAATGACGAGTTCTTCACGTCGGGGTACATCCCCAGCCGCTTGCCCACCAGCTGCCTCACCGTGGCACCGCGCTTCTCCATCGCTCCCAGCAGCCTTGAGATGAACGGGCGGAAGCCTCTGACTGCACTCAACAAAGGTAAGAGCAAGTGTCCAGAGCTGGATGAGAGCCTGCAACACCCAGAACCACCGACGGGCAATGAATGTGCTGCTCCCCCAGCGCTTCTCCCAGTTGTTACTGAAACCTGGAGTGTCTTGTGAGTGAGGGGAGGGGCGTCCTCCTCACTCTGCCCAGAACCAAAATGAGGAGGAAGTGCCAGCACTTGCTTAGGGTACAATGTAAACCTGATGTCTTCAGAAAGCTACTCCCTGGTCACACATCCACACTCTTCTCTTTCCTGGCCCAGGACCAGACAGCCCTGCTCTGGAGAACTTGCCTGAAAAGGAAGATGCAGCTGGGCTGCGGGAGCCGGGAGATGCTGTTGGCTGTCACTTAGCTGACATGTTACAGCAGCTGACTGCAGTCAACTCATCCAAGCCTTCTGAGAGAGTGGCAGTGAGACAAGGTGAGTCTGGGGACAACCCCACAGGCACTGGCCTTCCTGATAACTTGCTTCTCTGTCACTCTGATGCTGTTGTCTGAAGTGAGAGACCAGCCAACTTCAAACAGGGAGGCTGAGAAGTGATGTAGTAGCTGCTCGCCTTCCTTCTGGCACTGTTTGCTTCCTGGGGCGCACAGGGTGCTGTGAAATGTCTTCTAACAATCTCCTTTTCTCTTTGCAGAAGAAGCTGAAGACCCAGCCTGCATTCCCATCTTCTGGGTTAGCAAATGGGTGGACTACTCAGATAAATATGGTCTAGGTAAATAATCACACTTCAGCCTTTTCTAGCTGCTGAAAGGCTGGGAAGCTTTGGTTTGGGCATTGCATAGGTCTGGTGCTTTAATCACGGTATTCCAGTGTGTGTGTCCAAACTGCTGCCAGGAATGTAACCAAATACCCAGTGAATCCAGAGTAGTGGTCACCAAGCATCAGCCCTGGCCACTTTAAGGTGGCAAATGGCTACCTGCTGCAGGGCATGGCTGGCCTCATGCTGCAGTGAGCACGTGTACCCACGGTGGCAGTTAAGTTGCTTCTGCAGCAGGTGATGCAACGAGGGAGGATGAGAAATCCGGAAAAGTGCCACCCAGACCTCCCCAAAGAGGAAACTCTCTAGTCTGGGTGGGGACTTGGTGGGGTGGCTGTCAGGGAGCCCCTGGCCAACACGACCCTCTGGCCTTGTATTTCACACAACGCTGGTCCCATGTATTTGAAGGCCTAAGGGGCTCCCTTGTGACCCAGGTTACCAGCTGTGTGACAACAGCGTTGGAGTTCTCTTCAACGACTCCACTCGGCTCATTATGTACAACGACGGGGACAGTTTGCAGTACATCGAGCAGAACAGCACCGAGTCCTACTTCACTGTGAGATCCTACCCCTCTGCCCTCAACAAGAAGGTCAGTCCTGGGGACAGGAGCCCTCGGTGGGGGGTGGCTGCTCCTGCTGAGGCTTCTGCCAGCCTCGTTGGGTTGTGTTGGCAGGGTGGGTTCCATGGAGAAGCATCTGTAACTTGGGGTCACTGGCATTCTGCCGGCCTCCTCCTGGCTGGTAAAACGTGGCCCCAAGGACAGGCACTAGCAGCTCTAACTGGTTATTTCTGGCCGCTAGCTGAGGCTCGTTTGTGAGCAGCTTCACAGAATTAAGTGCTGATCTGTTCAGGAAAGTGAGCCCCAGGTATCACAGACCGAGTTAACTTCAAGCATGAGAATTTGCACAAGTTTTTGTGCTGTGATGCCTCAAGCTCTGGAAGCTGCAGGGAGGCTCTGGGGCTGTGACAGCAGCCCCTGCCCTCCATGGCAGGGCTCATCCTCAGGCTGTCTGCTCAGGCCTCTCCCCTCTGCAGATAACACTATTGAAGTATTTCCGGAACTACATGAGCGAGCACTTGCTGAAGGCGGGCGCCAACATGACGCCGCGGGAAGGGGACGAGCTGGCCCGATTGCCCTACCTCTGCACCTGGTTCCGCACCCGCAGCGCCATCATCCTGCACCTCAGCAACGGCACCGTGCAGATCAACTTCTTCCAGGTGAGGCTGCTCCTCGGCTCTTCCCAGGGCTGTAGCTCCAGCTGCTGCAGCCCCGCTGCGGGCAGCGCTGTGTGCGGGGCAGCAGGAGGGTGTCACCTGAGTGAAACTTTGTCCGATGGACCGAGCGCTGGGAGGATCTTTGCTCCCCTTGCTGGGACATCAGCCACCAAGATGCTACTTGCTGGTAAAGGGGCTTGTGTCCCTGCACTGCTGCACAGTCCTAGGTGCAGTGGTCTTGAGCTGGCTGGCCAGTAGGACCAGGGAGGTTCTCTTACCCCTGCACTGGGCACTGATGAGGCTGCACCTTGAGTGCTGCGTTCAGTTTTGGGCCCCTGACTCCAAGAAGGACATGGAGGTGCTGGAGCGTGTCCAGAGAAGGGCAACGGAGCTG